TATTGCAACCTGCTCAATGACGAATTTTTTTAAGCTCCAACCGAAACACAGGTTTGAGAATCAGAGGCATAGTTTTTGTATGTTTTATATTACACTCAATTCCTTTTTAAAAGTTACAGTGCCGGGAACTCTTGACGATATCAATCGGCCGTTCCGTCTTGTAATGCAATAAGTTTGCCAAATGGTGGCACGAATCTTGAGGTAAACATGACGCTCCACTGCAATGAAAGACAAAAAATATATCAGTAATACTAACGGTTGCTGAGGTTCGAGATCCCAAAACCACCAAACAATTATGAGAGACGCCGTAGTGGCGGGTTCTAGAAATTTCAAGGCCCTGTCGTTCTTTATTATGCACCTAAATTTATCAAACGGGTCTAAAGCATTTTTTCCTCCATCGAGAACGCAACTGCTGTGGCCGTGATTCCATCCCGCGACCTGCGGGTCAGCAGCCAAGTGCCTTACCCACTATACCTACGTGGCAGGTGAAAGAAATGTTGCAAAGTTATTTTTGTTACGCAGCTGTGTAGCTGACTCTTGACTCTACGTCTAGCCGTACCTCTGCACCTTGCACCTCAAACTGCACTGATGGCGTAAAGTTATTTACTGTGTACATTGGCAATCAAAATAATAAAGACCATGGGTACGCGTGGCAAGCAGCCTGGCAGCGCCTTCTGGCAGCAGCTTGCGAAACACACAATTGGGCACATGCATCCATTTTGTTGCGAGGCAGCCTAAGACGGGGGTTTTGTCCATCATCCTGTGGCATCCACACTCCCCTGCGCATGCACCTCCCCTCTCCTGCTCTGTCCTCTAAGATATCGAGGCATCGCGGCAACAGGAAGCCGATCCAAAATGCAAACGACGGGCAGCGCATCTCGAAGTGACAAGGTAACGCGAGTCTGCAGCGAATGCAACGAAACGCTTGAAGCAACTGCGGCAATGTGGAACTGATGGCGTAAACGTGCGGTTCAACAGAGATTTCCTCGATCGGAGCTTCGGCCACAGTTGCAATGTGTGCGACCGGCTTTGGTTCAATAACAGCCTGACCAAAGCCATGGCAGCATCTAGAAGGAATAATGCAAGAAAACGGTCGTCAACATGCCGCTACGAGAATTAGGACTGGCGAGTAACAACGACGGCAACCATGGTGAATTCATGGGGCGCTCAACTTTCAAGGAGGCGATAACGTCAAGCAAGGTGCCCGTGATGAGCGTGACAACAGCTACAACTATCTGGTAGAACCGGAGCATTTTCTCGAGCTGAATTTCATCAAAATACGACTCATCGTGCCGCGTTTTCCAATTAGTAGCATTTGACGCCTCACGCACGGCAACGGGCAATACGCGATCAAGGGCCAAGTTGCGAACGTGTCCATCGAAGTGCAGGAACTTATTTATTGCTTCTCCAGAAACCTACCAGATGACGCTGTCGTGGTCGTGCATACAAAGCGAAGTCTCGTCTGAGAGGCTTCGTGCGGGCGCGGTAACATGTACAAAGCATCCCTCTCTGTCTTCTCTTACGCATTTTCGATACCTTCTCCTTCGTCCTCTCATAAAATTACACCATATCCTGTTCATGCGAACCATTACTGTTCATGCGAACCACCCCGCTCATCATCATTTAGTCCACACACACGCTGTGATTTTTCTTATCCGACCACGTGCTTGTTCACTCCCTTCATTGGGGCGCCCACCGGAACATCGCCCCGCCGTGGTGGTTTAGTGTCTAAGGTACTCGGCTGCCGACCCACAGGTCGCGGGATCGAATTCAGGCTGAAGCGGCTGCATTTTCAATGGAGGCAAAAATATTGTAGGCCCGTGTGCTTAGATTTGGCCAGTGTACGTTAAAAAATCCCAGGTGGTCGAAATTTTCGGAGCCCTCCACTACGGCTTGTCCTAATCATATGGTGGTTTTGGGACGTTAAACCCCGCATATTTATGTATCCCACCGGAACGTCACCATAAGCACAACGAGCTACTACTGCAGTAGCCTCTGGAACTTCGAGCAGTGTTATCGTAATGAAATAGGGCACTTGCGCTGACAATACTCGGTGCGCGCCACGCTCTATGCGCTATGTTCAGAGACGTTCCGCAGCGCGCTAAACATGTTTGCCTCAGTTTTTCTCATGTCAACGTTTGAGATAAAATTGTTCAGGAGACTCAATCACTGAGCTCGATCATGTGCGCTGCTATTTCTCGCTATGATCGTACCAAGTATTGTGCGCTCATTCATAAGTGTAATGAAGTAAGAAACTCGGATACGGCCCCGCCGCGGTGGTCTAGTGGCTAAGGTACTCGACTGCTGACCCGCAGGTCGCGGCTTCAATTCCCGGCTGCGGCGGCTGCATTTCTGATGGAGGCGGAAATGTTGTAGGCCCGTGTACTCAGATTTGGGTGCACGTTAAAGGACCCCAGGTGGTCAAAATTTCCGTAGCCCTCCACTACGGCGTCTCTCATAATCAAATGGTGGTTTTGGGACGTTAAATACCACAAATCAATCAATCAATCAAAACTTGCATACGGTTGTTTATAGTACAAAGCTACAAGAAAATACACATGTAAAAAATTGCTGACGAAAGATTCGCGCCCAATCCGCATCACGATTGAGTTTGATTAAAAAGAAATCTTGTCAATCAGGCAGATCACTCGGTGGCTGCGCGGCGACTACATAGGCAGCACCTTGCGCTATTCATTGCGTTCTTGTGCACGCGAAATGAAGGCGAGTGAACTAGTATATTGGAAGGCAAAAAAAAAGTGCGTGCACAGTGCACCCAATCGAGCTTTTCAAGCAGCCATCGGAAGGTGCCGATGGCTGCTTGAATGGCTGCCGGTGGTCTTTTTTGTTCTGACTGTACTTGCACCTGTCTTTTGACTGTACCTGAAAAATATGGACATGCAGCAGTCGGGGGGCGGGAAGCGTATTATAGAAAGAAACTCCAAGAGCGTTAGAAGCGAAAAAAATTACGATACAGGTAACAAGCTAGAGACGGGTCAAAAATTCAGAAAACTTTCATATTTCTGAAACTTGTTATTAGTAACACTTAGCTGTGAACTAGTCTGTATTATGACTGTAATTATATACTGCTCGCCTTAAAATTCTAAGCTTGTCCCTACTGAGATAACATTTTGAGTATCTTTTTTGTGTTAAAACCTATTGGCTTCCATAGTAATTAGTATTCGCGATATTCACTTATAAATTTTGCGAAATTTATTGCATTTGGAAGCATTTGGAACCCAAACATAGAGCGTTCTGAGCGATCGCCTTGTTCTCTGGGCAGCAATAGTTCAGCTAGCTGATTGGCCCTCAAGCTATTGCTTCGTATATATGAGCTTATCAATTTGCTGAAGAGGATCAAGTTTGTGTTTTCAATAGGTTTCATGTCACCTCTGACTGCACAGGAAATCTTGTTCTCATCAATGATCACATGTTGAACTTTTCATCTTGTCCAAGTTTCGGTGCTCTTCAGAAACATTTTTCAGCATGATCATCCATCAAATGGCCTAATTCACTATCTTATTGCTCACATTACAGGTTTTGCAGCTCATTAGCATTCCCCGCCGTAAATACTGTCTTGCTCGTTATGTGCCCCTCGATGAACGATAAGTCCATACAGTGCTCTGAGTTTAAGAAGAGCCTTCGTAATACTGCTTGTAGTTTATCATCGCTAGGAAAAAGTCAAATAAAATTACAAAAAATTACAGAAGGCGGATAAGCCCGAGAGTGCAGCGTAGCACTAGACGGCATTACTACCACATCATCAGCTCTACTAGGTACATATATAACAACTTTTTTTAAATCTCAATATTTACCTACTGAATGTGGTCGAATTTCTCGCAACATATTTCGCAACACTTTTGAAGAAATCTTTTTTTTGTGCTTTTGAGTATTCAACTGCTGCTTTGTTTTGTTTTGCTGCTTGATTGCAGCTTGTTCTGCAGCTTGTTCTGCTGCTTTGATTTGTTGGTCTCTATGATTTCACGCTCCGTTTTCTTCTTCAGTGTCATATATCTTTGCCATTAATGCAATTGTTACTCTCGTAATTGGTTCTATTTTTTGATAAATAACTTTATAAATGAGTAAATAAATAAATAACATCATGCCTTGTTCTAACCCTTCAATTACTTTTATATATACTAGTTTCGACAGAGAATCGAGCTTCAAGTTAGCGGCCACTGCTCGTCGTGAATTCATGTTCTGCACATATAGATTCCCCATTGTAAATGCACAAAGCACCACTTAGCGATCGCGAACACAAGATATGAATTATTATGAAGCACCCATTTTTATCAACTTCGTTTGATGAGGTTTTGTTGGTTAGAAGTAACTGAGGGATGTGCTGCTGCAGCCACAGAAAATCTGTACACGAAATCTACCCACTTTAAGGACAATCTGAAGTTTCGCTATACATGGTAAGAGGAAAGATAGGGTGCACGAAACTTTCTAAGATGTTTCTTTTTCATACTAAATTGGCATGACCTCGATTGAAGCTTTAAGCAGAGAAATTTAGGCAGAGAATTGGTTTCAAGGTGCCGGCGCTACCATCATCCTACGCTGGGGTTGCTTCGGTGCAGATAACCATCGCCTCAAGCTAATGCATTTTCGCCACAGATAATTACTTGCGATTATTCTTATTTTTGCCGCATACACCGGGCGTATAAAAATGAAATCTCATTCAGGCAATCGTGCAGCGTACATTTTCTACCATGTGGTTCTGAAATGCGCCGTCTCGTTTTCCTAATCGCTACAATGATTCGAAATTCATCACTGTCAACACCATCAACATCATTGGCAACCTGACTATGCTGTCTGCTCGTAAAATGCCCATTCAACGTTTCTCCGATCGCCGTCTCTGCTGTACTGCCCTGAGCTTGCTGCAGGTGCGTTGTTCCGCATTAGAGCTGCCTAATAAGAATCACTTTAAATATTACTTGAAGTTAGCACTAATGTTAAGCGGCTGAGAGCATCACCTTGCCGTATGGTTGCTGCGCTGTGCTTTCTCAGAACCCATTCTCTTCGTTATTATCTTCTTTATCGTCATCCTCCCCAGAACCCGTTGAACGGCCGAAACCTCTGCCATAACCCTTCTTAGCAGTGTTTGTGGTGCTAGCGCCACCACCACCCTGAGGCCCAGGAGCTGCGTCACCTCCACCTCTCCCACCTCCTCCAGCACCTCCACTGGGAACTCTTCCGGTAGGGGCAGTTGGGACTGGCGTAGGTCTGGGGTTCTTTCCACCTTCTCCACCTCCAGTGGCAGTGCCTCCACCTCGTGCACCTCCACCTGATCCACCACGTTTCCCACCGCCACCTCCACCAGCGACAGGCTTTTTCCTTTGATTTTTAGGTCTCCTTTTCTCCTCTTCCTCTTCCTCTGAGGAATCTCTCATGTGGCCTTTTTTACGGCGCCTTCTTTTCTTCCTCTCTTCTTCCTCCTCTTCCTCGGATTCCTTCTTCCGGCGACGTTTTCGCCCACCACTCTCTTCAGAAGTCTCTTCGCCTCTTCTGCGGCCTCCGCGGCCGCTCTTTTTGGGGGGCTTCGGCTCGTTTTCCCGTTCTTCATCACCTTCGTCCCCTATAAATAATTCATGAAAGCCAGTCACACTCATTCCACCAATGGTTTCCGGCCTGAAAACGTTTCCACCTTGTGCACCTCCACTGGGACGCTTCTCTGAGCTTCCTGCCTCACCCTTATGCTTCTTCTTTTTTCCTGTTGTGTCGGCGTCTGCGTCGTTCAGACGAGTCCTCCTCGGACTCATCGCTCCCACGTGAACCACGCCGTCTACCCTTCCGTCTTTCGCCACTCTCTTCACTGCTGCCTAGTGGACGGCGACGGTGCTTCTTTTTCCGCCGTTTCGGTCGATCCTCTTCTTCTTCCTCCTCACTGCTACCTCTTCTACGACTTGGACGCCGAGAACGAGCTGTAGTAGTAGTGGTGGTCGTCGTAGTGGGGATTATACGTTTCTTCGGCGGTGGTGGGACCACTGGTGTGGCTGGCTCGTCACCCTCAACTTCTTCTCCACTTTCGTCTCCTACGTTAATTGGGTAAAATCCATAAGGCCCCTTTGCACCACGAATTTTTCTCGCCTCTCGTTTTACCCGGCTGTGTGCGTCGGCTTCCCGGCGAAAGCGTTCCAAGCCGGAGAATACATCTGGTGTGCCGCTGCTCCTATATCCGCAGACCCCTGCGCAGTAGCGTAATAAATAGAGACAATGGCATCCTTTACAATTAAAAATACACGTCACACTTGTGGAGGCCAGAACGCACATGCTATGACAGTTATGCTTAACCTGCCTCTACAACGGATCACTCACTAAATCACAAAAGTTGCCTGGTTTTTCGACACCTTAACGTGCGCATGTAACAGTGGCTTACATGCTTCAAACACGTCATTTACAGGTACTTTATTTTGCCGCACTTACACTCACACTTCCACCAGAAAAAAGTTTGTCAATATGCACGCGTTATAATTGTTTTTTGACGACAATCGTAGGTGTGCTTATGTAATCAATTAGCGTTCTATGGCTACCACATTCCGCAAAACGTGCGTTTATATTTTAACTTGAACCTCCAGCACCTCCTTCGTAGACGTTCCTGATACGAGCTTTATTGATATCTGAAGGTGGCGCCACGAAGTAGAGAATGCACTGCCGATCACGAACATCGGGTATGTTCTTGCGTGAAAATAAAAAAAATAAATGTTTAATTTCTGGGCAACAAATACAAAAAAAACTAATTTTTTTATTATTTTACACTGACCGTGCAACACTAAGAAGAATCACAACAATGAAGCGCATTGCAGCTTCGCTTCAACCATGGTAAAAGAACACTTTAGGTGAGCGAACACCGCGACTATCCGCTGCCCGATAATGCACTGCTTCGCTAGAAGCCTTGGAGATGGCACTACAAACTTTGCCCTGTCTTCCTCTCCCTCTTCTCGGTGTAGGAAAGCCCCATAATGTAGGAAAGTAGTGGTGCTCATTGTCGCCACAACACCCTCGCCCCACAACATTCTCGCCCCTCCGCTGTGGTCTAGTGGCTAAGGTACTCAGCTGCTGACCCGCAGGTCACGGGATCGAATCCCGGATGCAGCGGCTGCATTTCGGATGGAGGTGGAAATGTTGTAGGCCTGTGTGCTCAGATTTGGGTGCACGTTAAGGAACCCAGGTGGTCGAAATTTCCGGAGCCCTCTACTACGACATCTCTCATAATCATATGGTGGCTTCGAGACGGTAAACCCCACATATTGCCACATGATATGCTTGGTTGAGATCCAGGAGTGAAAGAAGACAACGACGATCTGTCTGAGCTGCTGCTTGGCAAGTCGACTTCCCAACTCACGCTGAGCTATTACCTACAGGCATTTTCAATGGTTTATTGCAGGACCATTTAAGTACTCTGCCAACAAATGTCAATATAGCAACGGACGCATCTCAATGAAATGAAAATTCAGGCGTTGGAATATATTGCCCCGTACTTGATTGGTCATTTTCACTTCGCTTACCGGACTTTCTTCCTGTCTTTCTGGTTGAATTCATGGCAATAATGTTAGCTTTGCGAAAGGTAAATATTTCCATTCCAGTCGTAGCAGTCATAACTGATTCATTATCAGTGTGTTCTTCTCTGTCCGCATCTGGTCACTCACCTATAGTGAAACTTTTTAAATCGTTGATCCCCTGTCATCTCCAATGTATTCATTTAATCTGGACACCAGGGCACAAAGGTTTATTGTTAAACGAAATAGCTGATTCTCTTGCGAAGGCATCCCTTTCGACACCAATTATTCCTATTTTCCCTCATACAGTATACATTACGGTGGCGCGATTTCGCACACTTAAAATCAGGCAAAATTTATCTGACCCTGCACTGACGGCTTCTCCAGAGTACAAACACTTGTTATTTCCCTGGCGCAGTGAACTGACTACTTCAAGGATGATGGAAGTTGTCATCACGAAATTTCGTTGCCGCGTTACCTCTCTCAATTTTTACTTGCATAAATCAGGCATATTGAATTCCCCTATTTACATTTACTGTAATCAAGAGGAAACGATCAGTCATTTTTTATTACATTGTCGCCGTTTCGACTTATTCAGGCAAAGCATACTAGCACCACCTCTTCAAAGACTGGGCTTGCAACTATCACAACCTGATCTTCTTTCATTTGGAGCCTCTACACTGGGTTTCAGCCACAGGGATGTTTTATTCGCCGTTCAAGAATACATCATTGCGACTAAACTATTTTCTTGATAAATTGCTGTCTCACTATTTTTCTTCTTTTTTTTCTGCAAACTTGATATCGGTATTTCGAATCAAAATTAAGTTACAAAAAATTTTGTAGAAATGACGCAATGCTGAAAGTTTAGGGCAAATTCACCTTATAATCGGCCAATCCCCTTCTTTGGGTACGAGCCATTTGCACAGGAAAACAACAACAACAACAACAACAACAACAACTAGTCGACTCAACGAACCCATTAAACCAAGTTTGTCTTAAGAAACGTGACAAGACTGGTGGAGTTGCTGGGTACAACGTCTCATGATCCACCCGATGCCCAAGACCCCACCCAGCAGCCCGAACACAAGCCCTGCACCCGTGGACACTCCTGTTCACAGAGTAAGCCGCCGCCAACGAGGCCTACCACCTGAGACACCAACCACTGACGCAGCCACTATGACTTCGACACAAGATCCCGTGCAAGCTCCGACACCTTCCACACAGATCTACTGCACCGTCCAGAACCCGCTCATGCCTAGCCCCTTTCATGGAGAGCAGCATGAAGATGTTGACGACTGGCTGAGTGAGTTCGAACGTGTCGCAGCGATAAATTACTGGGATGATGCCGCGAAGCTCCGGAACGTGTACACTTGCTTAAAGGACGGTGCCAAGACGTGGTTTTTGAACAGGGATGATGTTCTGACATCTTGGCGTGAGTTCCAGCGTCACCTTCTGGAGACCTACAGGAGTCCCGACCGCCGCGAACGGGCGGAGCGTGTACTACAATCACGCATCCGATGCCAAACGAGACCGTCTCGATGTACGTTGAGGACATGACACGGCTTTTCAAGCGAGCGGATCCTGCTATGGCAGAAGAAAAAAAGTTGCGCCACCGCATGCGGGGTGTGAAGGAACAACTTTTTGCTGGTTTAGTGCGTAGTCCCCAAAAGAGTGTTGCTGAGTTCCTTACTGAAGCGGCAACAATAGAGCAAGTACTGCACCAACGGTCTGCAGTGTTTGACCGTCAAGTGAATGCTGTCTCAACTACCGAAATTTTCGCCACCCCTGGGAGCAAGAGCCCCAAATGGACTCGCGAGATCATCCGATCTGTCGTCCGGGAAGAAATGGAAAAGATGTACGGGACAAGGCAAATCGATGTTGGTTCTATCACCAGTGTCATCCGTGACGAGGTCCAACAGGTGTTGCACGCCCATCGTTTTCCGCCGATGTCGGTTGATCCGGAAACGGCTCCTGTGTCTACTGACAGTCGCCGTCGTACGTACGCGGAAGCCTTGCGATCTGCCACGCCTCGTTCTGGTCAAGGAGTTCCAACCCAGCCAGTGCCGCACGTCCCGATCCAGACAGTGCCACACGTCCCGATCCAGACAGTACCGCACGTTCCGCTTCAGACAGTGCCATACGTCCCGATCCAGACAATGATGCCGTCAGTCGCGATTCAGTCGGCGCACGCTGGTTTGGACATTGATGGTCGCCGTGCACCGACGCGCAAGTCTGATCTCTGGCGTAAGCCGGACAGGCGACCCCTCTGCTATCATTGTGGTGAGGCTGGTCACATTTACCGCGAATGCCCATACCGGCAACTTGGCCTGCGTGGATTTTCCGTCAATTCGCCTCGTCCCCAAATTTGTCAAAGGCCGAGGGATATCGAAGAGTATTTCGCGCAACAGCGTGCACCCTTTACACGGCGGCAATCGCGGTCACCATCTCCGAGGAGACCCGCAGCCACTGGGTCACGTTTCGAGGTGACGGCACAGGAACGCTCTCAAAGCCTTCGTCGGGAAAACTGAAGGCAGCGGCCTTCGGGCGCAAGGTTGCTGGGACTCAAAGTGCGGAAAACCTCCCATCAACGCTTGCACGCAACACGGAAGACATTCAATCAGAGAATAATCGCAGTACTGAGGAAACGCCGAAATCCACATCTGAACCCAGTGACCGCGTGTCACTTGACATACCTGTGCTGATTGACGGTTTTCAGGTCAATGCATTGATAGACACTGGTGCAGACTATTCGATTATCAGCGGGAGGCTAGCAAAAGATCTCAGAAAAGTGATTACACCATGGAATGAAACGCGAATTCGAACTGCTGGAGGACACGTTGTAACACCACTAAGTCGCTGTACGGCAAGAGTGAAAATTCGTGCGTCAACGTTTGTGCTCAGCTGCCTCGTTCTGCGCGACTGTTCACGTCAGCTGATTATCGGCATGGACTTCCTTCGGGAATACGGGGCCATCATAAATCTTCGTGAGCGAATTGTGACCTTCTCGACTCAAGGCGCAACAGATCGAGGCGCTGATAACTGCCGTAGACCTGCGCTGCGTGTTGCTAACGACAGAGTGACGCTGCCGCCTCGAGCGACTGTTCCCATCGAAGTCATTTGTGAAGACCTCCTGGACGGTGACGTGGTGGCTGAAAGCAACCTATCACTTCTGCTACTCCAAGGCGTATGTGCCGCCCGAAGTGTTGTGCGTGTCCGTAACGGACAGTCGCAAATGCTAGTTACGAACTTCAACTACGAGCACC